AAATAACTTATTCCTTAAAATAATATTAGATAGTAATATAAAAAATATTTTACAGTAATAATATATCACTTAAATATTAACTACTAATTAATGAAATTATTAGCATCTTTTAAAAATGAAAGATATTAAACAAATCTCTTCAAGAAATGAGAACATATTCTGTGCCCTAAGTTATGGTTTAATTATGGAGATGACATTATTCAATCAATTTGGGTAATCAGATTTTTTTCTTAATAAAGCTACGTTGTGTTTTTATACGTGACGAGGCTTTCCAAAAGCCCTTGTTCGAAGAGAATCTGTAACTCAAACGACAACCGGCCCTACAGTAACATTTGAATACGATTAGTAGATTATAATTTCCGGTAAATTAGTAGATTACAAATTTATTAACAGTAATCATCCCTTTGTACCTTACAGTTTTCGTATTTATTTTATCTATTGATTGCAAGAAACATAGCACTTCAAAATGCCAATATTAACCGCCGTAGCCTAAGGCTACAATCGGGGGGGGAAAAATCTTCGGCAAACTAATTGGAAGGTTTTAAAAAGGATGAATAGAATGTTTGATATTTCATTATTTTTTAATAAAGTATAATTAAAATTTAAAACAATATCGCCTTTTTTTTTATAACCTAGAGGGTATCTCCGTTCAACCTCCTTCGGTCACCTTGTTTGTCTTCGGAGTACGGCCCCAAGGCTAGCTCCTCATTGAAACAACGGGTGCATTGAGCTTCGCTACTGGAGGAAGGATGAGACTAATCCCCCCTTCGAGGACAGAAGCACGTCCTCTGGCCCCCAAAGATTTTCCAATAATTTACTTGAGATAGGGTTTGAACTCATGACCCAAGTAAATTCTTGGAAGCTCAGTTGCCAACCGAGCTATCTTAGGGGTTATATCGCCTTTTTTATCTTGAAGGAAAGCCCTTTTGTTCATTATTTGAGTGGCAAAACAAATCAACTCATTTCATGGGCCATCTTATTTTTAACTCATCAAAAATGGGATGGGACATTGAGTCGCAATTTGTGAATAAGTTAAAAAAACAATTAATCTTATTGTAAGACAGGTTAACTCAAAAAAATAATTCAATCCATCTCATCGTCCATCTCATATTTAACTCACAAAAAATGGGATGGGTTGGCAAAAAAAGTCAATCCATCTTATCGTGAGTTGACAAAACAAGGCAATTCATTTCATCGTCCATCTCATCTTTAACTCACAAAAAATGGGATGGTATATTGACAAACGATCTATGAGTAAATTAAAAAATCAACTCATCTTATTTTGAGACGGATTAACTTGGCAACACGCCTAACAAAATTAAATACAAAAATTCATTTTTTTAATGTATCATTTTATATTAACAAAAACAACAAAGAAGTTATATTGACAATTAACACGTTATCTAACTTGTGGAATTAAACAAGGAGTTTGTGTTGGTGTGTAAATTTGAATAAATATTAGTATTACAAAATTGTTTTTTTTTTTATAAACATTACAAAATTGCTTTAAATGATAGTATTTCGCACGAAAATGTTTGCCTTTTTTGTTTTATTCGATGCAACCTTAAATTGTAATGAACGTAAACTGACCATTAAAGATTGTTATAGATGTTGCAATTTTGCAATCAAAATAAAAGCATATTCAAATAATATGAAGTCAAATGTGTGGAATATAATATATGAGTTTGATGTTTGTCATTCTAAATGACATAAGTTATGTCATTTCAAGAGAGAGATAGACACGAGAATGAAAATTATAGGAGAGAAAGTGAGTGGTTTTTAATTTAAATTTTAAATAAAAAAATATTTTCTTGTGTCTATCTCTCTCTTAAAATGACATGACTTTATGTCATTTAAAATGACATCACTTTATGCCATTTAAAATGACAAACACTTTTTTGTGTGTGGCATTAAAGTCATAAATATATTGGTGAATAAAAATGTGATATATATAAAGATAACAAATTGAATTGAAAATAAATAAATATAATACGAACCCACGGGTTGACCCACTTCACCCTATCCTCACTTACTTTGACCCACCTATATGTGAGGTCGGTTGTGTATGGTTGACAAGTTGAAATATGCAACTCCATATCCCATTTTGGCGAGCTAACCCATCACGTTCAACTTACTTTGTCAACTTTGTTTGAGGCAAAATGGACAATACATTTAACATTATTTTATATCTTTAATATGAAATCGAAACTAACAATATATACATATATATATATATATTATTTTGTAATTTAGCATGATATGGACCTTACTCATACGATATTATAGGCTCAACATGTGAAAGACCCAATAGGCCCAAAAAGACCATTACTCAATGAAGATAGAAATGCGGCTATCTCGCGTAACTTGCTGATTTCGCAGCCAACTGACATACATTACTAGCCGCTCAGACAACTACAGTTTTACAGTTACACTATTAGAGCACATTGACCCCACATGAATCAATGGTCTAGGGACAGGCACCTGCATGCCGCAAACATCTACAAGAGTTTAACATAACTATAGGCATCTTGTCCATAGATGAGCCTGAGAAGGTGACCACTATCCACCAATAAGAATAAACACTTTTATATTAATGGAGCACAAGCAAGTTACTAGCCTACTATAAATACAAAGACATTAAGCCTATGTACGATCATCTTTCAATTAATACTTGAACACCTTGAACTCTTATTAACTTGAGCGTCAGAGTGTTTTGCAAGTACATAGTATCAGTTCAATCATCACGTCAGTCGCCAAACATCTCGCCAACCAGCCAAGCATCTTATAAACGACTTATCAACCCAAACAACATTCAACAGTAGAACGCTCAACCGTGTGTGATAAAGCCTAATAGTTATTGAATTGATCACAACATATGTATTTATCATGACCTTATATACATACATCCATATCTCGTGTATTATTTTCACGTGATTAAGTCAAATGAATTTATCATGACCTTATATTATTTTTTAATAATAAATCAACATTTACTTTTTTTTTCTATTTTTCTCTTCTCATTCGTCTATTCATTTTCTTTCAAGTTTGTAACTCTATGACCTATTTGTAGCTTTGCTATTTGCAGGAGAATTTTTACTCTTTTATTATAAATTTCAGATGTAATATAGGGTTAGCCCACAACCCTTCAAACAAAGGATGAGTTCTTGGTTCGTTCTTTCATCCCACGTAATAAATCTTTAAGATTTGTTTTTAATAAAATCCTAGACATTTACAGGTTTCGTCATTCCCACCGCTTCTCAATTAATGGTTAAGTTTTTTTTTTTTGGTAATCTAATGGTTAAGTCTTTATTCCACAATGGAACCTCTATTTAATATTAAAAATGAAAAGAGTTTTACTTCAATAAATTTTTAATTTTTCTTTAATAAACCTTATCATTTCTGCATATTTACTCGGGACTCTTAATGTATTTGTTCAAGGAAAAAATCCATCTATATATGAATTAATTAATATTTAATTTATATTGATACTTTATTACACTAATTTTTTTATTAGACCTTACATTTTTGTATTCTATATCATTGATATTTCTCTCTCTTTTTCACCCCTCACTTTAACACACTGAGAACACTTCCTAAATCCTTGTAATTGAATCAAAATCTATATTTTATCTTCATAGAGAGAGAAAGGATCAAAGGCCTCTAAGCACACCAGCCAGTCTCTTCTTTCCACTTCATACTCAATTAGTCCTTCCCTTTGAAATGGATTCTATTATCCAAGTACTAGGTTTTATGCTCTGTGAATAAGATATGCCCTAATATTAGCACAAATTGCTAACCCTCTTATTTCATTCAACTGAATACTATTCCTTAGTTATGTTCTAATGGTAGAGTCATGATAAACCGGGGTTGCCAAATTTTTTTTTATCCTTGGCTTTGTCACGATTTGGAATCGAGCCACCGTTCTCCTGATATACATATTATTATTATTATTATTATTATTATTATTTTTGTTTTATTTTTTTATAAATCTACATTTCAGCCTTCCAAATTGTGAATTTGGTTAGAAGAAGAATGAGGAATTAGCTAACTGAGTAGAAAGAGTAAGTCCCAAACTAACATCGTAGAATTGGTAGCAATTTATCATGGCAGTGGACATCAATGTATGTAATACGTAGAGGAATTTGAGTAAAATCATAGTAATTAACACATCAATGACCTCGGCCAAACCAAATGATACTTGACATAATTTTACACAAAATTTGCACTTCTCAAAGATAAATCACTACAACATTTGTTGTTTGTGCAAAAAATATTGGTTCTCATCGAGGAAAAGTAAAATTGTTCAGTCATTCAATCCTACAAACAAGTGGATGAGAAAAATACCCAGCTGTTATGCAAATAAAAAAGAAGATGAAGATTAGGTCTGAGAGAAATATATAGTTGAATAAAAAATAAAAAGTAATTGGAAATAAAATTTTAAATAAATATCTATTAGAAAAAAAAGGATATTCGTTACACTCCAGACTCTCCAAATTAAGGCATGCAAAATTGAAGGTTTGGGTTTTCCTCCTTAACTAATCTATTCCATTATCTATAAACTTTCTAAACAAAGAATTATATAATTTCTATCACTTCATTTTATTATTAACCACTCCATTCATTTCATCCGAACAGAGCAAAAGAGGAGGGTGGGGTAGGAACCGAAAAACAGAATAACATTGTTATTGCTGCCCAAGGTTGCTTGTTTCCTAGTAATAACCAAATTTGTATTTGTCCGAAAACAATTGTCGTTTTTCATTTCGATGATAACATCTTATAGTTGCCAATATGAGACAGCGGAAAAGACGGTTGGTTCCTTAACACCCGTGCAGGCCATAGCCTCACCGCTGAACCATAACAACAAAAACCACCCCCTCTCCTCTTCATACCCTCATATAACACAGACAGATATTCCAACCTTCATATCAAGTTTCTCTAACCTTATCTCTCGGTTTGTGTTTCCCACAACCAATTCACAGAAGAAATAAAAAAATAAAAAAATGGGTTGTGGGAAATCTAAACATGATGTTGCTACAGGAAACACCACCGTCCTCCAGCGCAAGAAATCCAGCGTCGATTCCAAGGCAGGACAGGAAAATGGGACAGAAACCAATGACAATGTTGACAATGTGAGTTCAGAAGTGGAACAGAAGAACGATGAAAATGTCAAAGAGATTAAGGATGTTGAGTCAAATGGCGTTAATGGCAAAGCCTCTGAGGTAACAAATGTGCAAGAAGACAAGGCAAAGGAGAAGAGCCAAGAAGCTGATGGTGCAGCAGAGGGAAAGACACAGGAAATTGTTGTTGCAGAGGAACCGTCTGAAGGTGGCAAAGACGATTCATTGAAAAATAATGAACAAGAAGTGAATGATGCTTCTGATGCTGCGGAAGAGAAAAAACCATCTGAAGAAAATGAAAAAGGTGTGCAAAGGATGACCCTTTTAGATTTATATGATGAAAGTTCTTATTCGGTTTGATCATTTTTTTCATTCATTTTTGAAATATCTTCGAGAATGTTAGGCACGAGTTGTTGGTTATAACTTGTAATTTGCTCTTGTATGTGTGCTGCAGAGGAAGTCAGCTTAAAGGAAGAGACTTTGGTCAAGGAAGAAGAAACCAAAGAAACAAATCAAGAGGAGGCTTTGGTCAAGGAAGAAGAAACCAAAGAAACAAATCAAGAAGAGGCTTTGGTCAAGGAAGAAGAACCCAAGGGCATAAATGTTTCAAGCTCTGAAGGTGAACAAGATTTGAAAGCTGAGCAGGTATGTGGGGTTAGCACGAGTTCGCAAATTAATTACTTGAGGCCAAAAATTATGAGAAATATATTTAATCAAAACATGTTTGTGCTGCAGGGACAATAGAGAATTGGACATGCATAAAAGATGAAATGAGACGAGACACAACAGGAGTCAATGTAGCAAAGGGTGTTTCCTGTTTATTAGTGATACAAATTAATCATGTTCCGAAGCTAAGTTGGAAATAGCTCAGATTTGTACCGTGTTTGTTCCAAAATAAACTAATTTAAATTCGCTATTACTCTGCAAGAGTTATGATCCTGTCTTCTTTCCTTCTTCTTCTTCTCTCTCTCTCTCGCTCCAGGGATAAAAATATCATATTGATCTCAGGGAATTAACTAAGCATTAGATTTTATTTATCATATAGATCCCAATCAGCAGATGCTAACAATACACTTTTTAATTTTTTATGAAATACCATACTAGTCTACTAATAGAAGATAAATTCAGATTATTTAGTAAGATTGACATAAATTTTTACCCAATTTAAAAAAAAAATATTTTTTATTTCTCGCATTCCTGTCACATTGAAACACCGTATAGGTTAAAGGGTGAAAATGATAATTAAAGAAACCACCTAGTGTCTGGAAGAACTTTATTTTCTCTTCCATTTTTTGTGTCTCATTCATGTCAAGCACTAACTACGTTCTACCATCGTTTCTATTATAAATTGTTTATTGATTTACTTATTAATAGATTTAAGAGTAAATCTTTATTTTTGTCTTCCCATATACAACAGTCATTTCTTTGGTCATTAAAATCTTCTGTCTACCATTTACTTTATCGATAATCCAATTTTGTATCAATCTTCAACTATTTTCCATTTAAACTTCATAGGGAAATAATTTAGTTCTATGACTTTCTATATGAGAACGGATGTTCATTTAACAAACACAAGATTTGAAAATTTACAAGGTCTCGAACATAGCCATATGGAGAGCCTGCAGTATCTCAAAAACTAGAGAATCTTACTAACCAATATATAGGGTTACGACTAAATGCTCAATTCAAGTGTGAGTTTGTTAATTTTAAATTGTTAAAAAAATCCATGATATACCAACTATACAAACTAGACCAAAACAGCATTGGTTGGCTAGAACTAGAATAGCAATCTTTCAAAGTGTTTTTGTCTCGAAACCGAACAAGTATTTTTCATTTATTTAATTTTAAGTGGGTTTATGTTTTAACCCACTACAAATTCAAAGTTGGGGATTTATTTTTAAAAATGTTATTTTCTCTTTTTCAAATAGCTAATACCTTTTGTTCTCGCAACAACCATTTTTCTTACGTGATGTTTCACAGCTCTACAATCTATCGCAAATGTTATAAGAGATTGTTATTGGGCTCAATTGCTCAAACAATTTGGAGACCGTTGATAAGATAGGAAACTTATGACAAATAATATTTCTGTTTTCATAATTTATTCATACACTATTGCTTGCTGCATAATCACAACTAAAACGCATCCTTAAAAAAATAAATCTGCATGCCTATTAAAATCGGCGCAAATTTGTGCACATGTGGATAACGAAGCTTCTTATAAGCATATAATGTTTACATGCTATCAAATCGGTGTGTATTAGTCATTATGACAAGTGAAATAAGTAGTAAGTAGAGCTTGTTTGGTACATTTTTTTTAAGGTAAAAATTACTTTTAAACTAAAAAAAAAGTGCTTAAAATATAAAGTTAGAAGTTATTGGATGATTATATAAAACTGTTTTGATGATTTTAAAAGAGTAAAGATGAAATAATTTGTTATTACGATAAATGATAAATTTTATAAATACAAATTTAAAATAACAGTAAAACTCTAAAATAAACACAAGGACTTAAAAAAAAACTTTTAACTTTTTTCTTTATTAAAAAATAATCTCTTTATAGTAAGAGCTTTTATAAAATTATATTTCGTTAAACTTCTGCTTTATGAACAAGATAAGCTAAAAATAAGACATTATTAAATTTCAACTCTTTAAATCAGTTATGAGATTAATTCTGATTTGAGATATAATCACAGTTAAAGCTAGTCGTTCCTCTCAAAAAAAATATTTGGTGAGAATCGAATCTAAATTCTTCCTTCACTCAACTCAATCTAGGTTGCGATTTGAGCTATGTGATGAAGAATAATATTGAACTCAAAATAATACAGCTACATGGTAGTCATTTTGCTTCAATTAAAGTAATTTAGTGCAATGTGTTGATCAGTAAGAAAAGACATGACGAACAAAAGCCCATAAAGAAAGAGTTGTTGTCCAACCCGCAACCCAAACCCAAGCGGGAAAATCTTGTTTCCACAGCATAGGCGCGCGCGAAATATTCGTATGGCTTGTACGTCTTAATGCCCCTTCGTGGAACGGCACATCTTACGTTTCTAATCAGACGGCCTTAAATGTCTTGATCTTACCACATTCTTGGGTCCACGGTGGCTTCAAAATAAAAACTCGCTTGCGCGCTTTCTCTCTCTCTCACTCTTGCGAAACCCTTGATCTCAGAAAACCATGGGGAAGCCTTTCGACAATCAGGTTTCGAACTCCTCAAATTCCGAAGAGGAGGAGGACGCCAACGCTCAGATCGAAGAGGATGACGAGGAGCTCGAAGCTGTGGCTCGCTCCACTAGCTCTGACGGCGAGGATAATGTGCCAGATGAAGAAGAAGCTGCTGGAGATGGCGACGAGGATAAACCGGTAAAACCTGAACCTGCATTTTGAAATTTTAATTCGTGATTTTGTCCGCGCTAGGGTTTTGGTTTCATGTAATGTGGATTCTCTTACATATTAACACATTTACGATTTTTCCTGTTAAACACTTTGCAATAGAAGCTAGATTGTTGTAATTGTGTAGCCGAGGCTAATGTTCTTTTTTTTTTTTTTTGGTTGATATTTCATCTCCATGCAAACTTGGTTTAAAATAATTTATATATTTTTTAACTGTGTATTGTAGGATGAAAGCAATGTTGATAATGAAATTAGCAAGCGTGAGAAGACCAGATTAAAAGAAATGGAAAAATTGAAGAAACAGAAGATTCAGGAGATATTGGATGAACAAAATGCAACCATTGATGCTGATATGGTGCGCTGATTATTCACTGTGAATGGGATTGATTTATTTCTTTATATTATATTGATTTGATGTTTAATTAAAAGATTGTTGCATTTAATGCAGAACAATAGGGGAAAGGGCCGATTGAAGTATCTTTTACAGCAAACTGAGCTATTTGCTCATTTTGCCAAAGGTGATCAATCTTCATCTCAAAAGAAGTCAAGGGGAAGGTACTTTCTTAAGATTCATTAATACCGTGCTATGGCAATTCCCCCTTGTTAGTTTTACCTTATTAAGATTTAATTATATTGAGAATTAGATTTTCATATCTTCGAAGTTATTTCAAGGGTTTGTGAGATTTCTATACTATTCTCAGAAAACTATGAAAGCGAACTAGCATTAAATATTTAATGTTCTAGATCATCTAGATGAAGCTATTATCTCCCAGTTTTCCATAATTGGTGAACAATTTCTGCAAATGTTTCCCTTTCAAACTCAATTTCAACGTAATGAAATATCATCCAAACATACAAAAAGTGTTACCAAGTAACTTAAAGATAAGAATGTTAAGAAAAGGTGAATTGTGATTTTTGTTCCTCAATTCCTACTGGTGGTTGGCAAAGTTCATACAGGCAATAAAGAGTTGTGACTGATCTTTTACTAACTTTGTGCATTATATGAGAACTTATTTTGCATTAATTTTTGTCTATTTTAGGGGACGCCATGCATCAAAAGTGACTGAAGAAGAGGAAGATGAAGAATACCTTAAAGAAGAAGAAGTTGGTTTAGCAAACACGCGGCTGTTGACTCAACCATCATGTAAGTGTTCTTCCTTTGAGCAGTTCTTTCTTTTAGTTTCTCACATTTGTGGTTGTGCCTCTTCCCTGTTCTCATGTTTACTTTGATTGTGTGGAAAAATATTGGGATGTTGGTCTGTAAACTCTTTATGTTGGTTCTTTTTTCTGGTGGTCGAATGCTTGCATTCTGGTTGAGGAATTTCTCATAGGGGCTGCATGTGTTCGACAGATTGAACACATTTTGAAACCACCTTTTTCTTCTTTTTTTTTTTTAATTTTTTTGTTTCACACGTGTACTGTGTACTCTTTCTTCCCTTAGGTTGGTTTTTTGTTTGTTGTCTACAACTATCCAGTTGATATCTGATGAATTGCTCTTGAATTTTGTATTTGGCGTTGTTCATCTAATATGTGGATTCTTTCTATTCATATCTAATAAAGTTTTGGTTCACTTGAATGTGAAATTACTTGTTTGTTATACAGGTATCCAAGGAAAGATGAGGGATTACCAACTTGCGGGACTAAACTGGCTCATACGACTATATGAGAATGGAATAAATGGAATTCTGGCAGATGAAATGGTAGGTAGAAGATGGAGGGCTCAGAGATATCTTATTTAAATAACTGCATATCAACATAATTACCTTGTGATGTGTAATTTGATGAAGTATGAGTTGATTTAGAGAAGTCATGATAAATATATATATTCTTGATTTGTAGGGGCTTGGTAAAACCTTGCAAACTATATCTTTGTTGGCCTATTTACATGAGTTCAGAGGAATAACGGGTCCTCATATGGTGGTTGCTCCAAAATCAACTCTTGGAAATTGGATGAATGAGATTCGGCGCTTTTGTCCTATTTTACGTGCAGTAAAGTTCCTTGGTAACCCTGATGAAAGGGTAAGACTGGCTTTACTGGACTGAAATATTTTGTTAACGACTTAACGTTTAGTGTTTACCATTGATGGTTGCTTTTGACACTTTTGTCCAATGGTTTTAAAAAACTGCAGAACCATATTAGAGAGGAGTTATTGGTTGCTGGTAAGTTTGATGTGTGCGTTACAAGTTTTGAAATGGTAATCAAGGAGAAGTCTACTTTACGTCGATTCAGTTGGCGTTACATAATTATTGATGAAGCTCATCGAATCAAGAATGAGAACTCCCTCCTTTCCAAAACGATGAGGCTATACAATACAAACTATCGACTTCTTATAACTGGCACACCATTACAGGTA